AGAGAGAGAGAGAGAGAGAGAGAGAGAGAGAGAGAGTTGAACACGCACAACAGCTCATGAGCATAGAATCGGGCTGGGAGGGAATGTAAAACTAAACTGAACAGTTGAGGGGGTGGAGGGGTGCCGAGGGGAGGAGGGCGTAGTCCCCCTCCCTTCCTGCAACAAGATCTTCGCATGTCATCTCCGCTTGGCGACATGCATGAATTCCAGACAACTCTCTTACGTTCAGGTATCATTTGTGGATGCTTCATACATGACAAAAAGTTAAAAACTATAAAATGCACAGCAGATGGCACAGTCATGTGCGTCGTGTGTGTCCTGTGAATTTATCGAGTGCGACTGCGCACCTGGCAAGCACATATGCATTCAGTGAAAGGGAATACTTGTCATAGACTCGTGAACATTGCAGAACAAACTATTTTACACTCGTGAAACAATGACTACCGCTACTCTTCCCCAACAATGTGAACACACAAACTATGGGCCGGGCACCGGTGCCCTCTTGGTAAGCCAATCAGTTGCTAAATGTGAGCCCAAATCAAGAAGAAGATAGGGGTATTGGGACACAATTGGTGTTGTGACGTTGGCGATATTTCTGATGTTTTTTGTCGCGTGTGTTTCAATCTTCTGTTGATTGGATTGGATGGTAGACAAGCTGAGGGAGCTTGCTTGGAATGGAATCCCGCCTGCCTTGAGACCGCCCTGCTGGCGACTTCTATTGGTAAGTAGTCAGATGCATGTTGAGTCTTTTGATGTTCTCTCTCGCATCGAGTCACATTCTCAATCTTCCTGCACAGGAGATGCTATCTGTCACCGAGACCAATGTGGCTGAGTGCTAGACGCACGGGTCGGAATCAGGGATGCAATTATCATAGGGGCAAAGTGGCATCTCTCCACATTGTTGTTTGCCAGCCAGAAAGCGTGCTTTGTCATAAAACATGATTTGGATGCAGGTCAAGGCATACCGGGTGCGAAGGGTGAAAATGTATGCCCGTCAAGCTGTTGATGAGCAAGTGAACCTTCAGATCTAGGCTACCAGTTATCCGATGGCAGGATGTCCTGGCCGGACAGTCAGGGGGGTCCCGGACGTCTGGGCCTGGACAGCTCCATTTTCAGCAGTTTAAAGCACGAAAAAAAGAATTTGGGGGTGTCTTTATTTCATTTTTTATTTTTAATTTGATAAAGAATTTCGATGCGACCCCAAGGCAAAAGTTGTTCAGTTTATTTTTCTGCGTAACATAGTTTTTTTGGGGATTTTTTGACCTTTTTTTTCTTTTTTTTTGGGTGGGGGGGGCGTTCGGGCTCGGACAGGCTGCCCCGGGAGGACGTCCGACCTGTTGTCCGACCGGACAAACCCTGATGGTCAGGGGGTCTCGGACGTCTTACCTGGTAACATAGCTTCAGACCCTGTTTGGTGCAACATTTTTAGGATTTATTTTGCCTCCTCCCCCCCTTGCATTTGTTCAGCGGTGTCAGGGCTGTTTGTGGTTCTGTTCGCAAAGTGGACAGTATGACCAAGTGGTGGGGCTGCAAAAAGCAAGACCTAAAGCCCAAGGCAAAAATGCGAAAAAGGGAAAGGACAAGCAGTGACAGAATGCAAAGAAAGAAAATTGCTCCGTACCACTTTCTCCACCTGCTTCTCAAGCTCTGAGCAAATTCTGCAAAGCAACATGTGCTTTGCAGATGGCCAATGAGGGCTTATCGTGTCATTGCACTTTATCAATTATTAAACAACCAGTACATCTGGGCCTGGCAGCGACGCACTGCGTGCCGATCTTTGCTGAACCGCCAGTGGCACCGCTATTTTTTTATTTGGCTGTTGCCACCAGCCATTTTGGTCCGGTAGGCCCCGAGCCTCTGAAATTTTAGGAGCAGGCCAGGAAGAAATCTTGCAAGGCTGGGGCTGTGTACTGGCGGTTTGATGCCCCAGTCATGTAACAATATTTCTGGCCGGGCAGATGGTGGGGGTGCCTGAATAGCAATTGATCTCTTGCAGAAAATTTGCAATGGGCATGATGAGTTGCCCTGTGCGCCTTCTCCCATGTCCACGGGGTAACCATAGCTGCGCATCTGTGAGTTAGGGGCAGACCCAACCGGTGCTCTGTTCATGCTTGGGAAGCAGGAACCTTGTCGTCAAGATAAACATGTCCATGCCTTATTGACGTGAGCATAGCACCAGTGGGGCCTGCCCCGTGGTCTACAGATGACCATGTCTTACCTATTGGCGTGAGCATAGCACCGCTGGGACCTGCCCCTCTGTCTTTGTTCTGTAGTGCTGGTCTTATTCAAAGTCAAAGCCGGAGCTCTTAAAATACCGCTGAGAGTCAAGTGGGAGCTCTATCACCCGTGCTCCGTTCCAGACACAGGCTAAGGCAGTGTAAGTGGACAAGCGCACTACCAGATGACGAAGGGATGATGCTTCCAATCAGTCTGTGAAATGAACGAGACTATTGCTCATGCAAGCCGGCAAAGACTGGAGTGGAGGTTTTCCTTCAATACGAGGGTACTAAGGACAGTTGGTGTGCTTCATTTGGTTATTCTTGTAAGCTTTGCTACTGTGTCTGTTTGAAAGACAGACCGGTTGTGGTCTTATAGCATCACATCAAATGGATGTTTCGGCCACGTGATGATTATATTATTATTATTATTATTATTATTGTTATTTATGGTTTTTTTTTTTTTTTTTTTTTACCGTGTGATCATTAAAATGCAGTGGTGAGTAGTGCTTCAAACACAGTGATGCTGAAGTGAGTAATCCATCTGTCCTGGCATGGTAATGGCCTCCTGCAGGCGGTTGATTGCGTTTCTGACTCTTGACTATCATTCTGATCCATAGGGTTATGCACCACCAAACTCTGATCGCAGAGAGGCTGTCCTGGGGAGAAAGAGGCAGGAGTATCGGGACTGTGTTCGGCAGTACTATGAAGTCCTGGACAGTGACCGCACAGATGATGACATTCACACGCTCCGGCAGGTTGGTACCATTTCCTGATCAGGACGTCATTTTGCAACTCTTCCTCTTATCATCATGTTGTGCTGTGTTTTGTTCAATTTGACACAGTGTGATGTTTGTACACAGGGTTTTCCACTTGAGAAATGTAAGCATTCAGAGGAGATCAGTAACGTAAGTACAATGATTTGCGCAAGAGCCGTTCCAAATGTCATGCATGGCATCCGCCTATCTAACGTGCATTGTGTAGTATGTACCCAACATCTTCACCTTGTGTGACGGTCAAATAGGGCTCGGCCATGCGAGTAAGTATACCAGCCATGGAGTGTACAGGGAATTAAGCTTGTTGAGTGATGGTGAAAATGTGTGAACTGTTGAACCACCACTGCTCTGAAGCAAATCATGCAAGATTCCAAACCTCATCATTTTCCTGAGCCGTGTAGCACCCTGCATAAAGTTCTGGCACCACCGGCTCTAGTAGGGAGCAAGTATGCGCACTTTTGCTGCCAGAGTTCTTTTTGCCCCCCAGATCAGCAGTTGATCTATGTCCATGATCGCTCAAAAGTTTGTGTACTGCAGCCCCTTCCCCTCCCCGCCAAATCGGCAGCATGTATACCACTGCCTGCATATGTATTTGATCGTGCGTAGAGGTGGTTTGATGTGTGATTTAAAGGGGTCCATGTAACTGATTAATAGTAAAGCGGGGAAGTTTTTGTGGGTGACTTGACTGCCAAGCCTCCTGTTGGTCTGAAGAGGGCACAACTTCAGTAGCTTAGCCGCGGAAGGATTGGTGGCCTCGAAAGTATTGGTGGCTTAAAGAGGCACACTTTTCATGCATTGTAAGGAAGGGATAGGGGTGAAGGAGGAGAAGGCCAATGAGAAGTGAGGGGAAAAAATATGCTTCTTGGTGCCATTTGTAGCTGAGATGGAGCCGTCAGGTTGAACACTTGCGTAGGCTTCTCACTCGGGCTGGTAATGCCGTTGTCTTTGGCCTGTCTTTCTCCGTTCCTTCCTCTTTTCCCTTGTTCTGACCAATAAGTCAATCTCTTGAGAGGATGGGCCACTACACACATCCTTGCTTTGCACACACTGTGGAAACAACAGACTTGGTGAATGGTGGGGTGGAGCACTTTAAGCTATGGTTGCAAGGAAAGATTGGCGTCACATGTCTGGCTGATGATGTTGGTCCTCCGCTACAGACGATGTTCCCTCCCCTTTTTCGTCACTCCCTCCCTCCTATCTCTTCTCTCTTTCCCCACTTTATCTCATGCCCCTGCTGTGTTTCTTTTGGGTTGCCACTTTTGACATGACTGGTAAAGGTGGAATCTAGCAGAGTGACAATTCCCCGCCAATGAGTTGTTCCGGGCAAGCGGGCTTGCTTAGTGTACTACCTGATTGTGCCCCAGCAGTCCTTGTTGGTCCCCAAAATCAGCGTGAGATTTACACTGTCCAGCATCAAGTCCTGCATTGTGCGGCTCGGCTTGCTTAGTATACTACCTGATTGTGCCCCAGCAGTCCCCATGTTTTGGTCCCCAAACTTAGCGTGAGATTTACAGAGTTCAATATCAAGTCGTTCATTGTGTTCCAAGGCACCGTCCAACCATTATCTGGAGCGTCATGGGCTGATGGCAGTCCTGTCCTGTAGCCAAACATTACGAACTGATGGCAGTCCTGCCCTGTGAAAGTGCCAATGTATAAAAACCACCGCCATAGACATGTATTATGTCGAGCAAATCCTGGACCCCTGTTGCAGACATTTGACCCTGGCGCTTCCCAAAGCAGATGGTTTAGTGGGCTGCTTTTACCAGCTGCTGGGGTCTCCAGGTAGTTCATTCGGTTGCCAAAGCTGGTGTATTGAGCAAATTCTGGACCTCAACTGCAGTCGCTTGAGGCTGTTGAGTGCTCCCTAGCGCTTCGCAAAGCAGTTGCGTCTTAGTGGGGGACTGCTATTGTCCGCTGCTTGCTTGCTTTGTTGATATATGAGGTGCCTGCAGTCATTTATTATTCGTTCAACAATCAATCATGTGTATTTTGTTTTCTGGTTTTGTGGTAGGGCTTAGGGTTTAGGGTTGGGCTACTTGCAGTTGTTTATTCCTTCAATCACCAATCTGTTGTTGCAGGTTTTGTGTTGGGTCCTGTTGGTTCCTCCTTGCCCCAGCCTGCTAGTTGGTCATCCCTATGATCATCTCAGTGTCGTTTCACAGGGTTCATAATGGATCTTGTTGGCCAATTCGTTATATGACTCCATAGCAGAATGATGTTCATAACTTGTTTTTTGTGAAATCCCCTGTTTGGGTTGTTTTCCGGGGTTCATGATGGATCTCGTTGACCAATTCATTATGACTCCATAGCAGAATGATGTTTACAGCTTTTATATGAAATCCCCTGTTTGTGAAAGTTAGGTGGAGGTTGGCTTGCTTTTCGTTGATTATGTCTACTGATGTCTTCCAGATTTCCTTGGATGTTCCAAGAACAGTATCAGGTGTTCCATTCTTTCAGAAGAAAACAATTCAGGGCTGCCTTGAGCGTATTCTATACATCTGGTAAGTACGATGTTCATGTTGAAGCCAACTTATACTGCTGTGATTTCCCTCTTCTAGCTATTGCCTATTTCCTAGTTGTCGGGGTTTTCTTTGGATGTTGTGTGGAGTTGCCAAGTCCTGCGGATGTTTTCAATGCGGCATGGGCTTCTTTGGCAGAAAGGGTGTGTGGGCTATGATCGTCATCCGGGTTAAAAAGATAGGCAGAAATGTCCTTGTGAAATCATCGTCGTTTGGGAAGGCGGCTACCTCTGAAATATTGTTGTTTTTCTTCAACAACGGGACTAGCTCAGTTGGGGTGTGTGGGCTATGATCGTCATCCGGGTTAAAAAAGATAGGCAGAAATGTCCTTGTGAAACTCCGTCGTCCTTTGGGAAGGCGACTACCTCTGAAATATTGTTGTTTTTCTTCAACAACGGGACTAGCTCAATGGGTACACCCATGGACTGTTGAAATACGGACCTGAGTTCGAATCCAGATGCATGAAATCAAATAATTAAAACAAAAAAAGGTAAAAAAGAAGCGGAGAAAGCTTCGACAGTCTGACTTTATGCAATTCGCCATGCTTAGAACTGCAATGAAGCTTTTCATGATGCATGCAACTCAAACACGTGGATACAGCGCAGTGCTATCCACGGCAACACATAATTTGCACAAATCAAAGAGAGCTGAAATGCAGGGGGATTGCATGAGGAGGCGGGTGGGGCAGGGGGGGGGATTGCGTGGTCGGGGCGTACAAACAATTCAGTCGAAGGCAGTGGTATTGGATGAATGGCTCCCGCCCGTGCCCAGTGCTTCTGATTGCGTCTGCACCCCCTGAGGACAAGCTGTAAAATGGCCAAGGGTTCAGTGTGCAGATACGATGGGTTCTTCGTCCAATTTTCAAGTCATGGTTCAGTGGCATTCCCAGTATACAATGTGTGGTCCACTGCTTTGCAGTTATGAACTGATGGCAAGCATTGTGAAGACACCGCATGTGAGTGTGCAACATATCACAACTGCATGTCATTACTTGCTCCATGCGAACAACCCACTGTAACGACATGGCTTCTGATTCCCCTCCACATGGTGCCTGCTTACACCATCCTTGGTACATCTCAATCGACCACTGTACGCATCGTGGAGCAACGATGACTCTGCATACAACTTAACACCAAATGGCGCGACTTCCTTGTGATCACAACTCCATGTCGTTAATTGCTCCATGCGAATAACCCACTGTAACGACATGGCTTCTGATTCCCCTCCACATGGTGCCTGCTTACACCATCGTTTGCACATCTCAATCCATCACGGTACGCATCATGGACCAGCGATCACTCTGCATACAACTTAACACCAAGTGGCGTGACTTCCATGTGATGCTGCATGCCATGCCGACGGCAGAAATGTTCTTCCATGCCCATGCATGAAATGTTGTTCTGCTATTCCCATGGTATAACCGCTCTGCCATGTTTGACTAGTACAGCTCAAATGTTGGGATCACAAGAGCAACTTTGCATCACCGCGTTAGTTAATGGAGTTTTTGAATGTTTTGTCCACATTGAACCATATGAGTATAGCTTTTTTTTTTTTTTTGAACAACGGGCCCGATGGACAACGGATCACATACAAAACTGATCAGAACACGTACGAAACTTGATCTTTTAGCCATGAGTAGCTTTTTAGATGGAGCCTTTCTAAAGTTTTTTTTTAATCAACATCGAAGTCGGTAGCCCTTTCTCTTGGTTAAATTTTGCAGACAGTTATTGAGCTGTCAAAATTCAATCAAAGGGCAAATTGAACATTTGATTGCACTTTTGTTTCCGGGGAAAGTTTCGGTATGAACGCGTTTGATGGCTTTTGTGTGTGAAAGTGGTTGCTGAAACCTTTTAAGGGATAAGGAAAGGGATGAGTGGAGATGTTGTCTCATTACTCCTGTGGATGTACATGCATGTCTGGTTGGAAGGGCAATTCGGCACCCTGCTACGGGATATGTACAGGGCATCAACGACCTTGTTACGCCGTTCCTGACGGTTTTCTTGTCAGAGATCTGCCAAGGGGACATGGACACGTGGGATGTAAATAGGCTGCCGATTGAGACTCTGTATATTGTGGAGGCAGACTGCTATTGGTGTCTGTCTAAGCTGTTGGAAGGCATACAAGACCATTACACCTTTGCGCAACCAGGGATTCAGTCCCTAGTCTTCAGGCTAAGAGAGCTTGTTCGGCGCATTGAAGGTGAGAGGTCAGCTGGGTCTGTTTACAGACGACGATTGCCCTGAAGCAAATGGACGTAGCTATTGAGCCATCATCACAAAAGCATATATATAATGGAGACGAGTGCTGTGTTTTCGCCTGCCTCCTCATGTGCCGCCCCTTATTCCTTTACGTGGCCTCCTCTCCATATGGGATGTCTAAATATGGTTTTCATTTGCATGACAGGCATTGTTTTATGTAGCCTCATCCCCTCTGCCCCTCTCCTCTTTACGCTTCTTAAGTATCGTAGATCTCTCTCTCTCTCTCTCTCTCTCTCTCTCTCTCTCTCTCTCTCTCTCTCTCTCTCTCTCTCTCTCTCTCTCTGTGCAGAGCATACGTTCTTCATTCTTTCGCTCCATCCTGCTCTCTTTCCCTTTCCTGATTTTTCCCCTCACACACAAAAGGAATACGGAAACACGAAGGAAACAAAAATAAAAAATCTGAAACTCTTTTTACCAGCGTATAGGCAGAAGCAACGTTCCTGCTTATGTGGATTCTTACAGGGTCATCAAGGTCTGTGTCTATTTTTCGATAAGAGCTAGGGCTTCATTCTCTTTGGCTGCTTTGGGATCTTCTGGCCTGTTCACGATGCGTCCATCATCTCATTGGTGTGATGCATTCATGAAAGCCAAGATATGTTGTTTCTGAGGAAGAATCTGAGGAGTTGTTTTCCCCCCTTCTTAGTTTGGATCGTAATTGCTTGTAATGTGCGTGTCGTTCTTGCACAATGTCCATGCTAATCCTCTCTGTGTGCATGTCTCCAAGTATGGTTGTAGAAATTGACATTCAATCATTATAAATTTATAATGCATAAGAGGCGTGTCGTTCTTGCACAATGTCCATGCTAATCCTCTCTGTGTGCATGTCTCCAAGTATGGTTGTAGAAATTGACACTCAATCATTATAAATTTATAATGCATAAGAGGTTAGCATGGCCCACAAAACAAGATGGTTGCCAAATTCTGAAAAGGGGGATAAGCAGGTGTTCAGGTGTCGAATGATGAAGGTCAGTGTCAAACAATTGTGTTCTTAATCTTCTGATTCACCTTTCTGTTTCATGTAAGGTTATAGCACTTCATGTTTCTGATGTGATATGCTTCGGTTGCACTGGATTCTCGCGCTTGTTCCAAACCCCACCCTCAACTTACAGTTGTTTGGAGGAGAGAGTTCACAACGTCACTGTCGCCTCTCTCACTTTTTGACACTTTTTGTCCAAACCCCTTCCCTCGCGTCACAGTTGCTTGGAGGATAGAGTCCTTTTTCCACACTGGCAAAACGATAAACTTCTCATTGCTGTACGCCAACCTAATGGGCAATTGTGCGGCAAGGCATTGCAGTGGTTGCTAGGAGAAGTGTAGCATATCAGAAAGTGAAATGCACTAACAGCCTAGGATCTAGCAATGATGAAAGTGGCAACAACCAGCAGCATAGATGCAACATTTACCAGATGTCAATGTGCACAATGCAACAAGTAAACCAACGAGATAAAACAACAACAACACATTTGCATCATCATTATCATGGGCTGGGGAACAGCGCAGCGGAATAATAGTAACCAAGAGGACACGTGGACAACAACAGGAAAGGGAGAAACTTCGGAAGGGCAGGACATTAGGAAGATTGCCCTTCCGCTCACTCACATAGGGAGAGATCCATAGACATGCGAGAGAGAAGGGGGGAGGGACATAGGAGGTAACCAAGTCCAACCCAAGTCTGATCTCCGAATGTCGTGCACGGTTCAATCCCAATGTAGCG